AGGCTCCCTGGAGGAACGAATGATCATTGCTCAGTCCAGACCCATATGGAGACGGGGGAACAGAAAGTGCCAGGTTTGTTTGACATAATGCGTCGTATACGGCGGAACCTCAGTCAACTGAGTCAGTAGAAGTTTCAAATACGACAGTGAAGACAGTTGACGAACGCGAGCCGCAAGCTGACAGCGCAGCAAATCCAACTTTCTCTATCGAGAGCACAACGAACAAGTAAACTTGGCCAGACCGCAAAACAAAACGATAAGCAAGTTAAGAATGCCGGTGAAAGGGAAACCAACTGCACTTCTGAAAGCACCTGAAGCAGCGTACAAACACCATGTTGAAGGCCGTGTCGGTGACCCTGGATCAGTGAAGTTATTCCCTAGATGGCGAAGTTCATGTAGATTAAGAATAAGGGAAATTCCAATGAGCATCTTTCAGGAGATAAGTGACAGCAGATGTGTGCATCAAACTGAACACGATCGGTGGCGCTGGTACAACAGCCGAACGTCGAAGAGTTGTCGAAAATCAACCTGCTGGCCGAGTCACCGAAAATCAATCATGAAGCCACAAGAAGTTGTCAACCAAATACCGATCCGTTCGAATTCTCAGAAGAAAGAACTCATTACCCGTCGCAGCCAGAGTTCATTTTCGCCAGGGAGGAGTGTGGTGAGATACTACTCACTTGTGAGTAGTGGGTACGCTTCAATGACCAAAAATATAACACTACTACTATTACTACTACTACTACTACTACTACTACTACTACTACTACTACTGCTTTCTCACGTGATAAACAGACGGAAAAAATGCTCAAGGCGACAGGTCATGGCGGGGATGTCTATTTAAAAGCATGCCTTTCGAATACATGTTTGAACACACAAAATATTTTGTAATATAAAACGCAATAGGGAAACGTGAACGGGAAAACTGGAAATCACTGTCCAGATGATTGATGATCAGAACTTTTTCGGCATCAGCAGCAATGCAAATCCACTGATCTAACAGACAATCAAGTCCCGAAACGCGACCAGTGAAATCAGAGATACATCAACTGGGTAGTCCTTAATCTTTCGAATAAAAGTTTGCTACAAAACAGACCGTACCCGGTGAAAGTTAATGGAACCCACTATCACCGCCGAAAAAATGCTTACCAGATATCCAAGGAAGCGGTGTAACTGGTCGAACCGAGCAGGACATCGGGCGGTCGATACCACAAAGTGACCACCTCGTGACTATAAGTTCGACTGGGGACCGATTTGGCACGAGCCAATCCGAAATCGGCCAACTTCAATTCCCCGTTCGCCGAAATCAGCAAGTTTTGTGGCTTCAAATCCCGATGCAATATGTGCCGATCGTGACAATAGGCCAAACCCCGGAGTAGTTGATACAGAAACAGCTGAAAATAGGGGTAGAGAGGGGGGGGGTTCAGAACGAACAAGGAAATGAAACAGTTATTAGTACGGCCCCTCGGAAGGGGGAAATGATCAATTAGCAGTGTGACCGTATAAAAAAACAAGAGTACCGATTCGAGAAAAAATTCCGCGATACTTCATGAATCGTATCGCAACTGTGACGTGTGTGAACTTGCGAGGTGATCGTGTAACGAGTACGCAAGCACCAGGGTACAGCTTACAGATAACCAATCAAGAAGAGGATTTACCGACCAACCCTGTGGTCTCAAGTCGCATCAATCGGATTGGTTGAATGGAAGAAAGCATATAAATGAACCCGGATCGTTGTGGATTGGACATTGAAGAATCGACCAATGATCGTCTGATGCTTGTGATATTTATTTAAATGATTTTGCGAATAGAATTCACTGATCTTAATTCTACTTAACTTTGGGCCAGTCCGAATCCGAGTTCGTGCCAAATGATTCCGAATCCTATTCCGGATATTACAACTTGCCGCCAATCAAGACCATATTGG